TGGTAAATAAATTGTTTGGTAAACGTTTTTTTGGTAAATATCATCTTGTGAGCTGGTAATAACAATTAGAAATTTTCAACCTATGTATTTATTCATATTTTTTATTAGAACAATGGCGAAACGTTCAAACACGAATGAGTCTCATGACACAAGTAGTAGCGAAGACGAGCTCCAGATAGACGTTTATACAGATATATTAGAAAGACTAACTGTAGAAGGTTTTCTTCTACAGTTAGTCTATCGTTTTGATAGCAGCGACAGTGATATCGTCCAAGCAACAAGGCGACGAGAGAAAGAGTTCGCATAGATAGCGATTACAACGACAAAACAAAATTATAAAACAAACGATAACAAAATTATACAAAATAAAATATTGATTTTTTTGCAAATTTCTCGATTTCAGCCAATTCATATAAGTCCAATATCATTATAATATGTTAGTTAGTTCCAAAACCATACTAAATGATACGAGGGTCTGTAAATGCCCGTTTCTGCCGAAAAGTGGCGCCGAGTAGCTGGTAACCAACGTCCAGAATGGTTCGGAGTGCTAAGGGTTAATTTTGAGACGATCGGTTGCAATTATATCGATCCAATCAACGATTAACCGTTGTAACACGTTCGATTCGGATATTTTCGGCCCGCAAAAGCGCCGATCGCGCGGGTGAATTCGATTTATCGAAGCCGAGGGGCACGGAGAGCGACCGTGCGAGGATTCGCGCGGAGTTAAATTCCGTCGTGTCAAAACAAATTTGCCGTTCCACTTACGTCACTCCACTGTGAGCCAAACCATAAGACCTCGCAATCCTTCTTTCCCTCGCATTCCCGGCTCAATTCCGGCTTCTTCTCGGCGTCGCACTTGTCATCCGGATAAACGGTGCCGTCTTGCGTGGAGCAGCGAGCGGTTCTCGTCTCTTGAGTCAGTCCGCATTTGTCGTCGCACTGTCGGAACGGAACAGGGCCGAAACGATGATCACAGGGAACACGTTACCAGTTACACAGGGACCCGACGCTTTCTCATTTAAATCTATCTCGGAGGTAACTCGCGGTCTTGATATTACTCGAGAACGGACCAGCTACTGTCTCTCTTTCTCTCTCTCACTCTCTCCCTCTCTCTCTCTCTCTCTCTCTCTCTCTCGCTGGGAATGGATTTTTAAAATAACGAAGGGATAATGGGTATTTGGGTGTCATCGCAGAGAGAAAACGGCGGACTTACACCACTCCAATCCGACGTGACCCAGTCGAGGCCTTCGCAAGGTCTCAATTCGCAGGGCTTCTCACGCTCTGGAACCTCGCCTTCGCACGCCTCGTCCTCCAGCACTTGGATCTTGCCGTTCTCCTTCTTGTAGCACGTCACCCTCCTGGTCTCCTTGCCCGGCCCGCACAAACGGTCGCACTGGCAAAAAATCATAGTTTCGGAAACGTTCTCGGAAACCCATTTTCCTCCGCTTTAATCTCAAATCGCTCGATTTCATCTAATACCGGAATCTTCGGGCCGCGACGTTAATTATTCAAGGCCAATGGAAGCCAAAACCTTTCGTCCAAGTGGATCATTTAAATCGCTGAAGCGATACGATACCTGGTATTTTCTACGACATTTCTAACTCCATTTCGAAATTAATTCCAATCTTACTACTTAACTGAATTATTTAGATCGTTAGATTCGATAACGGAATCTCTTTGCGCGCCATCAGGCCTGACTCGAATCGAGGATATGAAAACGATCGATAAATTCTGAAACAGATTCGATAATTTACCGGATTCCGTGGATCGATAATTAATTAATTGAACAGTGGATTGGCAAAGAGAATAAGCGATCGAATTTGCGGAGGTTTCGATGGTTCGATTGCGGGGCAGCGAATCGTAACGTTGGTGATCCGTACCGGTTTCCATGGCCCAACGTGGAATTGAGGGCACTCGAGGTCTTTGTTACACTCCTGGTTGGTTAGCCCTTTTGGTCCCACCTTCTCCAGACACTGGTTATCGTCCACCACCGATGCTATTTCACCGGCGATGACCTGCTCGCATTTGATCTCCCGGGTCTGTTCACCTCCTTCCCCGCAGTGTTTGCTACACGGGCCCCATTCGCCCTCCACCCACACAGGTGGACAGGGCTCCGGGCTACAGGCCTCTGTGTCAGCTGGTTCCATCTGTGGATCGCAGAGGCTCTCATCCACCGGCTGGCTGTCCCTTCTTCTAACGCAGGCCACTCGTCTTGACCGATAACCTTCGTGACAAGAACATACCGTCTAGCAACGAATCGTTCGTACAACTGTTGCGAATCTGTTTGAAAAAGCCCGAGATATCGTATCCGTCTAAAACGTCGCGACGAGCTTGACCGATCTGAGGAGACTGCGGAAGAATTTTTGTAAGCAGATAGAATTGTTACAACATTAAATATAAAGTCAATTATTGAGCAGCGAATATGTTTGAAAAAGCCCGAAATATCGTATCCGTCTAAAACGTCGCGACGAGCTTGACCGATCTGAGGAGACTGCGGAAGAATTTTTGTAAACAGATAGAATTGTTACAATATTAAATATAAAGTCAATTATTAAGCAGCGAATATGTTTGAAAAAGCCCGAAATATCGTATCCGTCTAAAACGTCGCGACGAGCTTGACCGATCTGAGGAGACTGCGGAAGAATTTTTGTAAACAGATAGAATTGTTACAATATTAAATATAAAGTCAATTATTGAGCAATTATAACGATTCGAGTGTGTCTACGATCGTTCCTTTGTGCAATTTTTGAGAATTTTTTAAAGCAGGATCCTCAAATGTTGCGATCAGATTCGCCACTATTCGAGGAATGCGGAAGAATTTTTTGTAAGGAAGAATTGTCGCGACGTTAAATAATATAATAAATCAATGATTGAGCAATTATACCGATTCGAGTGTGTGTATGATCGTTCGTTTGTGCAATTTTTGAGAATTTTTTAAAGCAGGATCCTCAAATGTTGCGATCAGATTCGCCACTATTCGAGGAATGCGGAAGAATTTTTTGTAAGGAAGAATTGTCGCGACGTTAAATAATATAATAAATCAATGATTGAGCAATTATACCGATTCGAGTGTGTGTATGATCGTTCGTTTGTGCAATTTTTGAGAATTTTTTAAAGCAGGACTCTTAAATGTTGTGATCAGATTCGCCAGTATTCGAGGAATGCGGAAGAATTTTTTGTAAGGAAGAATTGTCGCGACATTAGATAATATAATAAATCAATGATTGAGCAATTATACCGATTCGAGTGTGTCTACGATCGTTCCTTTGTGCAATTTTTGAGAATTTTTTAAAGCAGGACCCTCAAATGTTGCGATCAAATTTGCCAGCATTCGAGAAAAGCGGAAGAATTTTTTGTAAGGAAGAATTGTCGCGACATTAAATAATATAATGAATCAATGATTGAACAATTATACTGGTTCACGCGTGTGTACGATCGTTCGTTTGTGAAATTTTTGATTTATCAATCTCCGAAGAATGTAAATAAAGTCTTTCCACGAGGAAACAATCACCAATTGTTAACCTACTAGCGGTGAACCGATTTTCAATAGAATTACGTTGCCGACGATGCACTGTCTAATTTAATTGAAATCATATGATCGTGAGAGCAACGTTCCCAGAACTATGCGCTGCACACAACGATGTACACGTTACAAAAGTGTACAGTTTGTTTAGAAAACAAATTGGTCCGTACACATGGAACACAATTAACGGTCGAATATCGTCGGATAATATTATTGAAGATTCAATTAGCGGCGGCCTCCCGAATGCGCAACATTCCTAGAACTGCCTCCGCGCCGGTCGAACAAGCTATAAGTTAATTAATAGTAATAGACTGCGAGGCCGAAACATCCGGCCGTTCGGATATTATTCCATCAAATTTCGAATCGGCGCCGGTTCAAAATACGCAGCGGTCAGCGATTATTAATCGCCGCAATCCGCGCGATCTCGTAACGATATGAATTTCTGAAACGATACCTCCGCCGCAAGTCGCGCTGCAGCTCGAAAACTGGTCGACTATCCAGCTGTAGCTGTCGGCAGCGGATTGCGAGAATTTATCCGGCACACTGTACTCGTAATTCACGCCGACATTATGGTCTTGATACAGTAGCTGCAACAAAGAAACAGCAGATTATTTTCGTCGTTCTTCGCGAAACAAATTATTCCTTCGTTTTCATTCGTTTCTATTCTAAAAGTTCTTACGAAAAACGTAGGTTCTCAATGTATCGACAAATGATAATAATCAGACCGTCGAATTTTATGCGAAATACAAATCTTCTTTGTTTCTTTAAAGGCTTTTGTGAATCGAAAATAGTATATGGGCATTGTGAATTTCTGTTGATCCTTCTATACTTTTAGATTCCTGAGGACATTTGAAGCAACTTTCTCCTTAGCGAAAATGCAATCCGCGGCTTCGTTTACGAGTTATTAACGAAAAATAGTGATCAATCAGAGGCGAGATCATTTGGCGCGAGACGGCCGAGCCAATGAGCGGAACTGGGCTCCGTGCACTCGTTGGCTGGACCGCCGCGCGCCAGCCGAGCTCGCCTCTTATTGGTCAGTGTTTTTCGTTAATAACTCGTAAACGAAGCCTCGGAGAAAATTTTCGCAAAGGAAAAAGTTGCTTCAAATGACCTCAGGATCCTCCCATTTCCGGATTGCGAGACATTTTCGGGACGCCCTGCTTATATCTTACGTAGCTATAAGTGCATGAAATTCGTAGTATATGGTAATAATAAATAGAGAAAAAGTTCTTCGAAAAATATCCTGAACAAGACTAACAAAATGTCTTCCGTCTTTTGTAAATCGTGGAAGAGGAGCTTTTTAAAATCATTTCGACGGATTGAAAATTTGTGGAACCTGTATTGCATTTATTGACCTGTATTCCGTATATGTTAACAATAATAGAAAGCTCAATAATAAATTCTAGATATGAGATTTCTTATAAGGAATCAGTTGCGAATTATCTTAATACGAGTAGTTAATCAGTTTCTAAATTATCGTCGCAAGATATACGTTGAATCTAAAAGCAGTGTCAGCGCAGCGAATTTAAATAACCAAAACGTGATGCAAAAATACTCGAAATGGATATCAATATAAGATATTAAGAATTTCTGGGAGGCGTGCAGAGATTAAAATGTGATCGATACGGGTTCGTTTCGCGATTCTAAATCTTTTCAAAGCACGTGCTTGTTTATTTTCGTCGGATCGGCAAAGGAAATATTTTTCGGAAAACCGGCGTAAATGTTCAACACAGTTGCAGGAGGCCTGGATGCACTACTCACCACCACGTAAATTGGTTCGTTGGTCGGGCCCAAGGCGGCGATGCTGTCGGGCGCCGAGAATCCTTGCGGGTCTCTCGAATAATGGAATATGGTTCCAGCGAATTTCAGGCTTCGTGGGAAGTCTATCCTCCAGTTTCCGTTCAGGTAATAGTGGCCCGACGTGTTTCTAACGGCTGCGAGAATAAAACGGGTTAAAGCGTTAGCAGTCGGCCGGACTATTAGTTTCGAATTCAATAGCACCGGCGCGACGTAAAAGCCGGCCCCGGTGTGTCTGCGCATCGTGCAAATTCACTGACCCAAGTAATTGTTCGACGACTCGATCTCCTTCACCGCTATGTTCGTCGCTCCTTTCGGGATCAGCAAGATGTCGATGTAACCTATAGAACATTTCGTTGATCGATTAATTTCGTGATCGGTGCAAATTAATATGGTACAAATTTTTTCAACTGCCATGGATTCGGCTTTCGTGAACTTAAATAGAATATTAAATCGTCTACGGCTACGTTTTATTTGCGATTCGAGAAAACAGAAATCCGATATGTTGTTGCAAACTTTAACGCTGAAACTGCAATATGGAAACGGTCCATTGCAGGTTTCTCGGTTCCCGTTACTATAATGTTACAGTATTACCGAGAAGATTTGTTGAGTAAATTAATTCGGTTATACCGGAGCTCTTTTATATAATGGAGATGATTTTGTAACGTATATATGTTATAATGTGAAATCCAATCGCTTCGATCACTAGTTGCACCCACTCCAGTTGATGAGGTGCTTTGGCAAATATTGAATCAAACAGTGATTTTATGGACCTTCCATCCTGTTAAAATCGCGATATGATGCAGTATTTTATGTTGCAAGATCTGTTGGGTATTCGTTGCCAGATTTCGGAAAATATTAAATGGACCCTTGGAAAATTTTAAGGTCTTGTTTAAACATAAACCAACGAATATTGTTTCACGATTATTGTTTAGACAGAAAAATGAAAGGGAACACTTTTAATCCAGATTTGAACAATTATTACCCAAATGGGCCAGCAGGAGATTCTAAAATTTCTGCAAACTCTCTCTCTCTCTCTCTCTCTCTCTCTCTCTCTCTCTCTCTTCGATCGAAATTAATTAGTTTGTGCGAAATTCAACTTTTTCAAATAACGTTCAGCCTTTTGCAAATTAAATTCACTTATTTCCAATTGTTTCTAATTAAATTCATATTAAATTTATAAATTGAACGACATTTTGTAAACAATTTTTGAAGATTTACAAAAATCGATACCTCTAACGAGATTTGAATTATTTTATAAGCAAGCATACAAATTCCCGTCGAAATTAAAGATGGAATTAAACACAGATAATTCTGTACTGCGATAGAGTAAGTTCGTTTTGCAAAAGACGATGCATATTGTCTACGTGTAAAAGGATCAATTGCATAACCAGTATTCAATATTTTTAACTCATTCATTATATACATATTTACAAAATACAAATTTTGTGACAAATAATTAACCTTTTACCGTCTTGAATCATTATTTATAAAATCACATTCAATTCTTGTATTTAATATGAATTTTATTACAGATCGTTCGAAATAACTGAATTAGATTTACGAACGAACGAATTTGTCTTGCGGCAAGAAAATTAACGTTGTCTGCGTAAAGATTCATTCGATGTACGATGATTAATTATCGTGCATATACAGGATCACCCGAAAATGTCTCGCAATCCGGAAATGGGAGGTTCCTGAGGTCATTTGAAGCAACCTTTTCCTTTGCGTAAATTTTCTCCGAGGTTTCGTTTACGAGTTATTAACGAAAAACACTGACCAATAAGAGGCGAGCTCGGCTGGCGCGCGGCGGCCCAGCCAACGAGTGCGCGGAGCCCAGTTCCGCTCATTGGCTTGGCCGTCTCACTCCAAATGATCTCGCCTCTGATTGGTCACTGTTTTTCGTTGATAACTCGTAAACGAAGCCGCGGATTGCATGTGCGCTAAGGAAAAAGTTGCTTCAAATGACCTCAGGAATCCCCTACTTTCGGATTACGAGACATTTTTGGGACACCCCGTATAATGAGTGCGTAAACGCGAACGTGCATCTCTACAATAGGATTAATTTCGAGTGCAAAGCCTTCCGACCATGATCCAGGAATGAAACGAAGAATCGAAAGAACCAGAAAGCGTCGTTCCGATTTCCTTCGATTCGTTCGCACGCGATAGGAGACTGGGTGGCTCACCGAGTTGAAGATCGTCGTTGGTAAAGATTCCGGAGACAGTGGTACAATCGGAACCGTCGCCGCCGCATTTTCTGCAGGCGTCTTCCTGCACGTTGCTTCCCAGCATCATGTCGCATCCGACGTGCTGGCGAACAAAGTAAATTACCGATTGTGCGCGGGATATCCGATATCTCGATTCAGCCGCGAGCCGCGTCGCGACGCGGCCATAATTACCGCTTGCCGACAACAACGGACAACAACGGATATTGAACCGCGCGATGAATCGCGGATCGTTAAACTCACCATGCACTTCCCTTCGACGCACACGTCGTTCTTCTCGGGCTCGCAAGGCGTCCCGTCGATCACCGACAACTTGTGCCTGTAGAAGAAACGCTCGCCCCGCGGCATGCAATTCAATTCGCACTTGTTCGAACCGCCGGTGTACGGGATCCAGCTGCGGGCAAACGATTTCACGCGAATCGATCCGATGAGTTCGATCGTTTGTTACGGAGGCGGCACGCCGATCGATGATCAGCTGCCGCCGCCAAGAATCGACCCTTTGGCGCGTCGAGTGCCGAATATCTCTCCCCCCCCCCCCCCCAAATTCCCGTGGAATAGTATTTGTTAGTTCAACTCTTTCGTATTCTAGAAATTTATGCGGTATTCGGTCCATTCATAATATATATTCACAATTATATGAATTGATTATATGATGAATATATCACAATTAAAATGAACTTCGAGATCTAATTAAAACTTAATAGCACCCTTATGCGTTCGATGCGGCACCCGACGCGACGTATGTGCGTACTACAGTTGCACATCGGTCGAATATCTCTAAAACGTGATAAAAATACGTTTTCCATACGAACATTATAATAAAAAGAAATTACGATCGTGCGCGGCAATAGAAAATGAAATTTTGCCACGTTTGATATTTTATAAGTTCGTCCTCGTTCGGTCTGCTGTTTGTACAATATTTTTTAACGATAGAGCTTAACCAATTAAGAGAGGACAGTTTCCTTGCGATACACTTTTAGAAATATCTCATATGTGATTACTTGGTTTGTATCTTCTGAACAAGTTAACAGTTCTTCGACCGTTCGATAAGATTACTATCGTTTATACTCTTTTAAAATATTCGTTCGATTGCGAATAGTTTATTTTGTTGCTCAGCTATCGGTGCGCGTAATGGATGCCGAAGAATTTGCACAATGTAACCGTTCGATATACAGTAATGTCTCCCTTACTGACGCTCAGATTGTCCACTGAAATGGATAATTTGGGAAGAGGAGATACGATTATTCGAGCCTCGTTTTTATAATTGTTGAAAATCGGTAACTATTAAAACGAGTCGCAAGGCTCGATTAATCGTACCTCCTCTTCCCAAATTGTCCATTTTTGTTTCCAAGCTGAGCGTCAATTAGAGAGAATTCACTGTAATCGCGGGAATACAGCAAATTCTGCCTAATTGACGCTCAGATTGTACACACAAATGGACAATTTAGGATTATTCGAGCCTTGCGGCTTGTTTTTATAGTTGTTGACAATCGGTAACTATAAAAACGAGTCGCAAGGTTCGATTAATCGTACCTCCTCTTCCCAAATTGTCCATTTTTGTTTCAAAGCTGAGCGTCAATTAAAGAGAATTCACTGTAATCGCGGGAATAGAGCAAATTCTCCCTAATTGACGCTCGGATTGTACACACTAATGGACAATTTAGGATTATTCGAGCCTTGCGGCTTGTTTTTATAGTTGTTGACAATCGGTAACTATAAAAACGAGTCGCAAGGCTCGATTAATCGTATCTCCTCTTCCCAAATTGTCCATTTCTGTGGACAATCTGAGCGTCAATTAGAGAGACATTACTGTATTGGAAGTCATGATTCGAGTAGAACAATAAAATTGACTTCGATACTCACTCGTAGTGGACTCCTTCGAAGGGAACGCTGTTGAACTCCGCGCACTGCTCTGCTCGGAAATCTTTCCCACTGTCCGGACATTCCTGTACGAAAAACAGAAAAGCTCAGTCTTCGTTCTTATTCTTACAGGAGAAAGAACGCACGCGCTAAAATGTTCCAAATGAAGCTTCGTACTTGTGAACAGTGCTTTGAAATTCCAAAGACAGAGACGGAGAACAGCGGCGCGTCAATCGTATTACTTTTCCACAAAGAAAGAACGACGCGTCGCAAAATGCGTACTATGAAATGAATCTGCTTGTAGTTCAACTTACAAATTCCGAACGAAGCGAAAGAAACAAGCGATGCTCGGATTTCATTCGTACGTATTTTCGTAGGAAACGAACCATCGTGTAGTAAGATATTTTAAAGAAAAAGGCGCACTCACGGTTCTATTTACGAACTACTAAAAAAAGAAAGAAACACCCATTCCACATAAAATGAAATGAAGCTGTAAGTTATTCGTATTATGTTCTATTAATCCTTTGCAGCCGGAAAGATTTCTCGGATCGTGAATTGGTAAATAACAATTTAAAATGCAACATAAAAAGCGTTATCACGTTGGAATAATTATTCTACTTGAATAAGACTCCGCGATAAAATGATATTCGTACCGATACAAAAATTGTTAATCTTGAAATTAGCTCAATTACCAACAGCAGTCTTGTTACGCGAGGGAACATCCGAGTGCAAGGGGTTAATCCTTTGCAGCCGGAAAGGTTTCTCGGATCGTGAATTGGTAAATAACAATTTAAAATGCAACGTAAAAAGCGTCATCACGTTGGAATAATTATTCAACTTGAATAGGACTCCGCGATAAAACGATATTCGTACCGATCGTATGAAACAAAAATTGTTAATCTTAAAATTACCGGAATTACCAGCAGTAGTCTTGTTATGCGAGGGAACGAACATCCGAGTGCAAGGGGTTAAATCACGACGCGGTATATCCCGTAGAAAATCGATCTGCTCGTGTATGTAGAATCTGCTTCGTTTTACACATAAATTACGACTAAATAAATGAAGGTTCGGTACTCGTATTTCGAGGGAGACGGGCCACGCCTGAGAAACTGGCCGGCGCAAAGCGAATTTGATTAGAGCTCCGTTTATAAATTGTGAGCGAGTGTCCCGTTGTCCCGGTGGGCAGGAGCACCCTCGAGCGTTCTATCTTGGCGAGACGCGACGCATTTTTCAATTTGCGTCTATATCTCCGTGGAGCACGTATTTCTTCATGAAGGAAGGACCCTCCCCGTGGCCACAATTTATTTCCGACCCGCAAAGAAGCAGGTAGAGGGTGGAATGCATTCGCGCGGACAAGAGCCCGGCGCGGCGCAAAGAAAAAACATGCGAACGCACGACACGGGCCACTTATAACCGCGACCGCAAGCTTTTCGAGTGCTTTCGCATCGAGGCTTTTTCTGTTCCCGCGAAGTTTGCTCGCGACCCAGTAATTATCGTCGGTCCCCATGCTCCAGTTTCGCGAGGGAACGCGAACAGTCGCATTTCGAGGTTCCCGCTCCATCTTTCCCTGCCGGGAGACGGCAAATATTAGTAGGAGAGTGCTCCGGATGGTCGATAAACATTTACTTTCAAATTGAAGACCCGTAATTTATTTAGTATATTGAATATTCCAGGCGAATTCGCGGTTACGAAAAGCAGCCGATCGAAGTCGAGATGCTCGAAGTCGACGTCGGTGCTCTTGCGTTTTTTGAGATTGCTGAATTTAAGTATGTCTTGAAAAATGGAAAATCGGACACCACTGAATTGAAAACAAAGCTAACAATCTGGAGATTTATTGAAGACCGTGTTGAAATGCTTTTTTATTGCAACATATTGATTAATATTAGACCGATAGTCTTTCTATCGAAATAAAAACTGATTAAGAATGTACGAATAGAAAAGACAAAATCGATTGAAGCAACTACTTCTGTCACCTTCGTGCACCTCGTAGACCAGATGTACTCAATAGTTCTTAGTCAAATTATAGATATAGGTCCGACAGTGACTGTGGAAGTGTCAAAAGTCACTACCAGACTATAAATCACGATGCATTTATGGTATACGCAAGTTCGATATTGCAAGCTTAATTGTATTATTACTCCATGTTCACCACGAGGAATTTTCTAGCTGATATAAAAAATCTTTTCCTTATACACAGATCTTTACGAAACAATTCGCGAGACTAAGAATTCTAATTATTAGCGTATGTATACTATTTTTTTAATAGATCACTACTTTGTCATTCGACGTAAAATTGACTTTCATCGTTTAGAAACATTGAACTAATTGAATATAGACAAATCAGATCAATTTCACAAATATGTTAACCGAAAATTTAGAATTGTGTTGTGTACGACACATCCAACATAATTACTTTAAATTATTGCAAAAAAGTTTCTAGAAATATTTCTGCTAGGTGAGTGGAGAAAATCACTACAGTAAATTCTCCCCAATTTTCCTTCAGCTTGTAAACAAAAATGGACAAATCGGGAAGAGCAGATACGATTATTCGAACCTCGCGGCTTATTTTTATAGTTGCCGACTGTCAACAATTATAAAAGCGAAGTGCAAGGCTCGAGTAGTCGTATCTCTTTTTCCCAAATTATCCATTTTTGTGTACAAGTTGAAGAAAAATTAGGGAGAATTTACTGTATCCTGAAGTGAATCAGAAGACCATCTCGAGCCCCAGTGGCCCAGTCACGATATGGCCCAACTATGTTCGGGGGGAACAACCTCCACCGGTTAGGGGAGCAAGGTGCCAACGCTATGCCAGCCGCCATTTGCACTTGGGATCAGGATAGGGGATGAATCCACCCACCGTGTGATATCATCGTTGCTATTGGAATGGTGTTTGCTTGTTTGGCCCGCGAATCGATCCGGTGGGAAATTGTGTTCGTGTTTACCTCGAACAATGATGGGAGGGGGGGAGGGGGGAGAGTTTGATTAATTGATCGTGGTGGGGTGCCTTTTATTATTCAGGGCTCGTCGCACAGGTTTGTTAACCCTTTTCGGACCACGTCCTTTCCAGGATTCGGAACTAAACTTTTGTTTGCTGGGGGTGATCCGTGTCCCCGTCGTGGGCTGCCTTGACAATACCGAACCTTGTTATTGTCTTGCGAAAGAGCTGGGCTCGGACATGTTTGTGAAACTCTGTCACGTAAATTTGGAAGAAATACTGTACAGGGTGTCCCAAAAATGTCTCGCAAACCGAAAGTGGCGGGTCCCTCAGGCCATTTGAAGCAACTTTTTCCTTTATAAAAATGTTCTCCGAGGCACCGTTAACGAGTTATTAACGAAAAACAGTGACCAATGAGAGGCGAGCTCAGCTGGCGCGAGGCGACCGAGCCAATGAGCGGAACTGGGCTTGGTGCGCTGGTTGGCTGGGCCGCCTCGCGTCAGCCGTACTCGATTCTTATTGGTCACTGTTTTTCGTTAATAACATGTTAACGGTGCCTCGGAGAAAATTTTTGTAAAGGAAGAAACTGCTTCAAATGATCCATGGAACCCGCCATTTTCTGATTGCGAGACATTTTTGGGACACCCTGTATAATAAATATAATAGAATATATGAATATTCTAATAATAGTAGAAGCAAATAGAACGGAATCTAATAAGATAGAATAGAATAGAAAAGAATCTAATAAAATAGAACAATAGTAGAATAATATAAATATAAGAGAAAATATTTGCGCAGGAAAATAGCGAAAGCAATTTACAAGAGCAAGATGATTTGGAGAATGCATTTTCAAGAAATATTTATATTTTTGGAGAAATATTTTCAAGAACGTGCTTCGAAGGAAATATTTTCGAGAATATATTTTCAAGAACATGTTTTAGAGGAAATATATCGAAGCAAGTATCGTTGAGGACGTTTTTCCAACACACATGTTTCAGACGAAACATTTCGAAGCAGATGTTTTAGAGGAGATATTTTCAAGAACATGCATTAATGAATATATCTTTAAGGACATGCGTTAAGAATGTATTTTCAGGAACATGTTTTAAAGAATATATTTTTAAGAACATGCATGAGAGAATATATTTTAAAGAACACGTTTTAAGGAGTATATTTCCAAGAACATGTTCCAACGACAATGTCTCGCAAGAACGTGTTTTAAATTGAAACAAGCAACAGTTCAAATACCAACGAACTAGATTCGATTTTATGGGAACTTTCGGGGAAGAATTTCAGCTTCGAAAGTGTTAATATTTCTTGCCTAACCTCGCGTGCATGTGTCCAGACATCGAGCAGAAGATCCGCCTCGTAAATGAGTAACGCAGCAGTTACGAGGGCAGGATCCTCGCATCGAGGGGTCGGGGGGCACAGGTATAATGTCGATAAATCGAGCAGAGGTCCTAAAAAGGAAGAAAAGAGATTCCAGCGGGACTGGTACCACGCACGGGGATACGCGAGGATTTATGACGTAAGATTTCTTGCGGGGACGCGCTGCGGAAGCTTGTCTGGGGAAGGCAGAGGGGGCAAAATCGGGGGCCGAAATCGGAGGCCGAAATCGGGGAACAAAATCGGGGGTCGGGGAAACGAGAGGGAGGGCTGCTATTTGGTCACCGTGAAAGATGAAAAAAAATCGAGCGCGATCCCGAAACGACGCCAGAGGATGAGGAATGTTGCCCGGGGTTCGCGGACCGGTGATTTATGGTTCGGGCCGCTTTTCTACCGGGTTGCGAGCCCCACGATTGACCTTGACGCTTATTCAAATCGATGGTTTACGAGCCGAATCGATTCGGGGTCACGAGATAACCGGCGCCAGCCGCATCGGCGATCCATCGCTCCCCTGAACCGCATCTCTGAGTCGCTCTGGGATAGAAAACTCTGTTACGGCATTTTTTGCTCTTGACACTTTTAAAAACAGAATGGTGAAAAATGCTGACAAGGGACGATATCCAACCCGCAAAATTCAAAACATTCTGAAACTTTAGGGATATGCGGAGCATGTGTAGACATTATTACGCAGTTTCTTTTTCTCGCGTAAATTCACTTCGCAAGGGGTGAAAAATCTAACCCTCGAATATTCGGCTATTTTTTTAT